TACTGATTTGATCATTTACTCTGTGCCGTTCTTCCTCCTAGTGGAAGATTTAGAAAGACATGATGGCTCTCCAGAAAGACGCTATTACATGAATAAATCCCTCTTGAAGATTTTGAACAAGCAGAATGTAGAAACCAAGAGACAGTAAAATATACCCACTGCCATAACCATACAATCATGTTTGATTTAGTCCTGGTTTGAGTCATTCTTTCCCCGGCAAGATATTCATTGTTGGTTTTTATTTGCATGTTTTATACCAAAGTTTATATGTGAAGCCATCAGCATTTATAGCGGAATTGTTAAACAAAACAAAGAAACAAACAAGATGGGAACATTTTTATACTGAGATTTTTTCTTTTCTTATCTGAGTTGTATTTAGCTTTTGATTCTAGCAGTATGGGTGTTTTGAAGAAGCTGATTAGAGTTTTAATTATTAGCATTAAAAGTTTTGAAATGTTTTACTGTTATATATTTTACTATAAAACAGTAAAAAGATTTCAGCTGCCACAATGTTCAGTCAAGAAAGAGACTCACTTTCAACATGCTACTAAAGTCAATGGTTACAGAAAAATGTGGTATGACAGATTGTATTGCTGTTGTAGTGTAGAAGTCTCTCTTTAAACAGTTTCCAGTCACCCAGCCTGTACTACTGTGTCCTCTATGACAAAGTGCCTTACTGGCTATTATTATTACCCAGTTCATATTTTGAAGTTTACATGCATCTTTTCAACCACAACACAGAAATTGCTCAATAGGAAGTACAAGACTCTTTCAGTTTACTTGAAATGAATTGGTACAAAATAAGCTGCAATTAAAATAAATTTGACATTTTTACTAATTACTGCATCATGCACATGTCTCTGGTTGCTGTCATCAGATTATTGAAAGTGCGCCCTATGCTTCAAGAGAAAGCATAAGACAGTGGTTCTGTTACAAGAAAATCATGTAAGAATGTTTGGTTCCTGTAGTACACTTTTTATAAATCTAATTTTTGACATACTGAACTCTTTAATGGGAGCCCTATTCTGTCTTCAGCTACAAAGATAACTCTCCTTGTACAGGTGGAAAGGAGAGTAGAATTTGGGCTCTTGTGATTTAAAATAGAAGAATGAAAAGGGAATCCAATAGGTATATATTACACTAGTGTAATATATATTTGTATGTTCATAAATGTAAAGTAGATCCTTCATTTTAAGACAGATTATTTACTCTTCTGGAAGTGTTTTATAAATGACCTTTAATTTTCTAACTTTTGATACAGATGATCAGTTTCCTTGTAATATATTGGTAATTTGTACTGCACTATGATGAAACTAGGAATATAACTGCTTCTTCATCTTTAAGTAATACTACTAGTGCTACTAATATAAAAACTAATTCACTCTGTTACTTTATGTTACAGAAAGGGTCCACAAGTATTTGTCCCAAATAGTTATTTGTTAAATCACAAAAAGACAACTCAAAATTTGACAAATAAAAATATAAGTTCCTGTCAATTTCACTTATTATTACATTTATGTCCTTAATTTGATTTAATTTAATTTTGGAGACTATTATTTTCATGCAAAACCAAATTAACATGAGCACATGACAGTCTGAGCTCTAAAATATGTTTGCTTCTGCTGTGCAGAAATATTAGTAACGTATTGTTTAAATATCTTTGATAACTAAAATGTTTACTATTTAATGAACTTTGTTGTTACTTATTGTTTTACAGCTCTTGGGGTCTGTTCTAATAAAGATTTAGATATAAAAGACGAATATATTTGTGTTGTTACATTTATTTTGGTGGGGAACTGTAAATAAATACCTTTATGAAAACTCACTGTAAAAATATGTTTTTTATTCAAATGTATACCATGCTACACAAAAGAGCATCTGTCTCAAGCTCTGAGCACAACTGATACTGTTAATACATCCCATTAAAGAAACTGACTCCAGCAATTACCTTCAAATAACACAACCTTAGCAGGAACATGAGTATAATAAACCTCACCAACAGAATCATTCCAGGAGTGATGCATCTCTACAACACGGTGACGAGGAATATTCTGCTCAGGACTGATTCGTAATATCTCTATTTAATATGGTAACGTTTGGTTTAGAATGTACTTCTGGAAGCCTTTTGGCACGTTGTATAACTTAAAAAATATACACACTTAAAGGGACCAATATTCATAACATTAAATTTGACACTAAAGTAAAAGGAGTGTTGCACTAAAAACCCAGAGGTGATAGGGATATTTCTTATTATTGTTAGATTGCACTAGTGCATAGGGCTTTCAGTCAGGGGATTAAGCCCTGTTCTGTTGAGTGCTGTAGAGATATATAACAAAAAGGTGGTCCCTACCCTACAGACCTTCCAATCTAATTGAAGACCTTAAAAAGCTGTTTCCGAAAATGGTTCTTTCCTTTAACGAAGGTAGACACGGGGGGAAATGTGAGAAATTTTTTTGAAAAAATAAATACTTCTGAGTTGTGGATATAAGCCCTAGTATTTCCATGCTTTGACATGAGTGTATCCCTACACCTGCTTGGAAATCAGAAGAAAGCATCCTTTCATATAAGGTCTTCTGGCTTTAGAATGAGCTACAGGCAAGGAGAAAGTAACATCTCCAGGCAGCAAGACCCACCCACACTGAGGCTTTGCTGTTATCACAGGAGACTACTTGAAGAGTTCCTGGAATCTGGTAGGCACAAGAAAAAGAATCCACTATGAAGTCTAGTATTGAGCATGCTAATCTACGGGACTATTTCAGTACTTAGCTAGTAGACAGTATGATTGCTAGTATGAAAACACCAATGCTAATTGCAGGTATATTGAAGCTTTACTGAGACTAAGGCAGGAGATACCAGTATCATTTCCTGTATATTCTTACACATCTCTTTAAAATGTTGCTGTTCATTTTTAAGAAACTGGTTCGAATGGCCAGTGAAGAGTCCATCGGAGAACATTTAAAAACATCTGGGCAGATCCTTTTAGAGATGAAGCCACTTTGCATTGCATTATTTGTGAATGTACACACTGGCCCTGAAGGAGATTCTCTACATGAATACAAATGAGATGCTCCACGGGCTGACGGACAATATACAGACTCCATCAGAAGCATGAGGCACAGCTGGAGCAAAAAGGCTTTACTACTCTGAGCTGTGGTATCAGCTCCCCTGGAGCCCTGATAACTCCCCTAAAGGCTGCTCTAACTTATGCTGCAGTGCTGACCTGATAGTCCTGGGATCAAGAGAGTGCAAATGTAATATTTAGTGCTACTTTGAGCTTGCACTGTTTGCTCTAGGACTAGCAGAGGGTGCAATTTCTGAACTATAATACTGGTATAATGATGCATTACATTTCATGATTCAGATTCCATCTAAACTCCTTATTTAGACAATCCCCCATTGAATTTAAAATCAAAAGAATATTTTGTCTTGGTATGAACGGTGTGATATGGAGGAATGGCCAGGTTTCAACAGTGACATGCTGAATATACAATGGATGTCTCTGGCCAGCTGTTTACACGTAGTCCCCTCTCCAGGCACTTCTGACCTCCCAGGGTGTTAAAGCCCCTTACTTGTTCCAGGGACAGTCTTATTACGTAAGCCCATTTATCCAATCAAATTTAATGCAAATTGAACAGTCCTGAAATGTAGTCCTTCTTGGCACACTCCTGAGACCATGTATGTTGAGTTTAAAATGGATAAGAAGGATCATCATCACACTGTGCTGTGAATCTGACTGTACTCCTTTTTGGCTCAAGTGAGTCCTTGGCAACTGTAGTCCCTGGCTCTGTACTGAGGAGGCTTCCCAGGAGCTACTACTATCGGGTAACCCACTTACCTCAAGGGAGACAAAATGAAGCCTTGGGGCCACCATAGTAAAGAGATGCTCTAATTCATTTCCTTGCCACCAACACACTTTCTCTTTTCTTCCCCAGACAATTCTTCTCAGTCACCTCAAATATCCCAGCCATGTTCAGGCTCTGTGAATATCCCCAAGTCAGTCTGTCTCCAGCTCTAGCCCTCACCAGGTGCACGTGTCTCTCCAGATCAGGGAGTCTCCATTCCAGTTCTTGTCTCTGCTCTGTACTCCCTTCTCTGGGAGTTATGTTTCTCCCTCTCCTTCACACACTCTCTCACCACAGATGGGATGTGGACCCTATCAATTAGTAATTAAAACAAAGAAAGGGAGAGGGAAGCAAGTAAGCAGATTTGCCATAGGGTGTAACTATGAAGTACACTTTGCGTGTTTACAAATGTTTTTAATTATTAGATCTATGTGCTGCCCCTCCCAAAAAAGCCTCAGGGCAGCTTACAATAAAAAACAAAATCACTCCTTCAGTGGCAGCAACCAGACACTTCTGAAAACTTGCTGTTTGAATTTGCCTTTTGTATAGGTTGCAATTAGCAAGCTCATTTCTAATGACAAAGATGCTTCCTTTTAAGTCTAATTTACTGCTTTAGAGGTACTTTATAAATATCCTTCAAGTTTGTCTGGCTCCTTCCAATCCCCTAGCCCCTAAGAGAGCACCTCCCACCACTGGAAATAGAGCTGAGCTGACAGCTGCACATCCTCCCAGGCTGCCTTTGGACTCCTCTGGGATGAAGACTTCCTTCAGTCTGAGCAGTCTCAGTGCAGAGCGGCTCTTCCACCCCAGGACCCCAAGGAAGGGACAGTGGAGGCTGAGTGAAAGGGAGTGCTGGATCTCTGAGGTAGGAGCCTTTGGCTGTGGGGAAAGGAAGAGATAGGATAGTGCAATGGTGAGGGAAGATGAAAGGGGTTGTGGGTTCTGGGGGGATGTAGGTAGGGAGCACCACTTTCTGGTGTCAGGAGAAGAGGTAAACTAGTAGGAATTATAGCAAAGCAGTCTGGAAAGGCCCTGTGTTGTTAAGATGGATGGTTTTACCTAGGAGAAACTATGGATTGCAGGGAGAAAAGGTGGTGTAATAATGGTGGTATCAAATTGCT